TTCTGTTTTTTTGTAGTCATGGAAGGAGCACAGTAATCAACTGCTCTGTTCAAAACAGATCCTGACCAATATGTTCTATTCAGTCATGCACTGGTATTTAAAAAAAAAAAAATTAAAAAGTCAAATTGTCTAGATCCTTTTTCAAAACTGGACAAAATGTGATTTTTATTTTTTTTTTCTTGTGATGGAGAAGATAAAAGGGATGGGGTAAAGAACCAGCCCTCCCTCCACCCCTGTCCCCATCCCAGTGAATTCTGGACAAAACTGGCAGTGGTGAGCTAAACAAACATGTGCATTTCGTACAAAAAAAGTCAACCGCCCGCCAAAAATGAGTTACGAAAAACCTGAAAATAAGCGGCCGAGATCTCCATCGTTGCAGCCTGCCTTCCTTCCCAGGCTTGCAAGGAAAAAACACCTAGAAACATAAATTGGAGAAGACAAAAAAAAGCAGTAACCGGATTCAAGTATATGATGCTTTGTTGACCTTTTCTCTTTATTATTAAGACTTCTCGAAGGGTCTTGCAGTTCTATGTTAGACCATGGATCATTTGCATACACATTGTCTTTTGTGTCACTTTTATAACTTTCTTACGGTTCAGATACTCATCTATATGTCTGTACAGAAAAAAGCTGCTATTTTTTTTGTTCTTTATCTTTGTGGATTTAATCTATGAAAACCTTCAGGTCTGCCCTCCTTCCCTTCCACTTCAACAAATTTTCTTATGCTTTGTACTATAGTGTGTAACTTTTACTTCCTCCTTCCCAGTAACTGATACCTTTCATATGATTTGCCATGAACTGTTTAATGCCTTTTTATAAATACATTTCCTCCTTTTTTTTAAATTTTTTTTTTTAATTTTATTTTCCTTCCCATTAGTTGTTTTACAACATCTTGGCTGTGTGGGCTACAGGGCTTTGGAGGGGGATGAGGAGAAAGAAGGGACACCCCGCACAGGAACACTCTGGCAGTGCTGTGGTGTGGTGTTTTTAAGCCCCAGTTTTCCTTCCTTCCCACTAACCTCTGCCCAGACAGCACGCGAGTCTCTTACAGTGCTAGGCGTGATACAAACTCAGGTCAGAAACAAAAGGTTAACTATTTAGTGCATTCTTGTTCAGTGTTTCTATTCATTGTTGTACAAGGGTCCTACCCCTCCTGCCCTCCCTGCTTGTTCACACATCCACCCGCCCATCCCCACACACACAGACACACACACACACACACACACACGTATTATTTTTAAATTATTAGTTGGGTACAACAGCAGACACCAGGCTTTTGGGTCACTGATCCTTAAAACAATTCTTTCACCCCTTCCACCCTGTGAACAAGAGCTGTGCCAGGTGCAGCTGTTGATGCCAGGCATTCCTAGGGTAGCCATCCATCACCTGGCTCCAGCCAACCCCAGCTCTTCACCTTCCTGATGGGGAAGCCCTCGTGGAGGGAGCCCTCGTGGAGGGAGCCCTCGTGGAGGGCACCTGGGCTGTGCTTCCCAGCCCTGGTGAAGAAAAGCCCCCCCAAGCAAAGGGAAGCCCCCGCGCCGTTTCCGTGGGGCCGGTGGGAAGCGCGGAGCTGGGGCCAGCGGCTCGGCTGGCAGACAGTGAAGTGTTGGCAGCTATGGAAACCTGTACAAGTCCAAGCTTGTGGCTTAAATCACAGACCAAACCTCAGAACAAAAGAAGACGAGTGAGCTTGTTTGTTCAGTTGCAGAAGCCTTGGTGAGAGGGGAAGGAGGGGCCGTCAGGAAGTCGAGGCCCAAGGAGTCGCTGCAGTCGCTCATCTTACCTTAGTTCCAGTCTAGGCCTTTGTTTAGCACTGATCCAACCAAACGATGGCAGGAAGAGGTGGTTCTGGGATGGAAATGTTCAAATCTTTCGAGTAAGAACAATGAGTAAAAATATACTGATTGCTAGTTTTGACTGGAGATTTTTAAAAGTTTGTAGTGCTTTTTGCTTGTGTAGTTTAGGTCCCATTATCTTCTCTTGCCTCTGTCCCATAGTTATTTTTCCCTTTTGAAAATGAAAAAGACAAAAAAGTTAATTAAGAAGGTATTCTATGTAGGATTTTTTATTTATTTTTGTGATATCAGTTTAAATCACTGTAGAGATGCCCCATAATGAATTTAAATACTGAGATAAGGGTTTTAGAGTATGACAGGGGGACAGTTTTTGATTTTTTTTTTCAAACATTTATCTACCTCACTCTTAATTTTTTTATATGTGTGTATATAAAAAAATACATCTCACATTTCTCAGCAGCCAATAAATGCCGTTGATACTGGTAACCTCTCACTCCATATACCACATGCTCTAGGTTCTGGAGGGGAACAGTCACTGCCTGCCACAGACGGTCACCTCAGAATATTTGCCTCAATTCCAAGGGATTTCTCTGTTTTCTTAAAATTTGTGAGGAGATTTTCTTAAAATTTGTTGTGAGGAGAAACCCAAGAGTTGTCTGACTTAGGGTGACCATTCTTTAAGGAAACACAGAGGCTTTTTAATATGCTGTCACAGCAGCCCTTGGGTCAGCAGCAAAATTCTGCGTGTTTGGATGAGTGGAAATGCAGCTGACCTGATAAAGGAACTTGAAATTGTGAGTATTTCCTGAAATCTTTTACAGAAATCAAATGTTTACAATGTTTGAAGGTCCAGAAGAAATACTAAAGGGAATGTTCTTTCTGTTTGTCCTGTAGAATGGACTGTCGTTCCTGCCAGTTCTTGCTCAGATGTCACAAGCATCAAAAAGATATTTGGCTGAATCAGATCCCCAAAATAAATTGGCTCATATGGGATGGCATTGCTTTCTTGACCAAAACCTGTCACTGGCTGATACATCAAATTTAAAGCTTTGATCTTTGCTGCTTCTGTTTGATGAGAGCACTGATTTTTTTTTTTTCATTTTTTTTTTCAAAACTAACATTGAATTGATTTTTTTTAATGTGCCAGTAAAAAGTCAGTTCCCTTTTCTTCCCCAGTTTATATGCATTATAACTGTGGATTCTGATGGACCAGCCATCAAATTTTAACTGCCCTCTGACAGCATGTAAGTGGTTTACAAGCACACAGGACTAACACGAGCTTGCCATCAGCTTGCTGTATAATGTTTCCTTTTTTCCAGCTCTGGCAGCTGTTCGTGCAGGTGTTGGTTGTGGTATCTGAGTAATGTGGTGCTTGGCTACTTGGAGTTGTACCCGGCCTCTTGGATACACAGCGCTGTGGTTAATTACTAGAGTTTGGCTTTGGGGGGACTTTCTCCCTAGTCCTGAGAAACCAGCAAAATTGGAAGTTTTCACTAGATTCATTTGGTTTTCCATGTCTGATGTTCAAGTGACCTTTGGGTGCAGTGGCTGTTCCTCTCCCTTGCACATATTGATTACCACAACTGGAGATCCTCAGATCTTTCAGCTGGCTAGGAGGGTTTTGTTAAAACTGTCCGAGTAACTGGTTTGTAGAATTGTACATAGGTGGTTTTACAATGCATTAGGAAGAAACACTAATGACATAGCATCACAAGAAGCATTTCAAAAAGCACTTCAGTAGAAGACAGCCACGAGGCCTCGTGTCCGTGTGTGATGGCAGTCAGCTCTCCTGGACCAAACCACCTTCATGATACCATTGCATTCTGTGTTTGCAATTCAAGCTTAATTCCTTTTTTGTTCTGTTTGTTTCCATAGCTTTTTTTGTTGTGTTTTGTGCATTTTGAATAGCTTTATTCACATGGGTTTTTCATGCAGACTTCCCTTGGACAGTAAATCGAGTTGTTTGTGCATGTGAACAACTGAGAATTAATGTTGGCTTGATAGAGTCATAATATGGTTTGTAATGTTGTTCTTCCCTGAGACCACTGGCTTGTCTGGTATGGAAAATTTATTTAGAACTTCAGCTATGTTTGAATAAAGTTAAAGTAATCCAGTTTGTTTATAAATTAAACACAAAAGCCCACCGAGCCCTGAAAACCAGCATTTTGAGGAACGGCACCGAGATGTTCCGATGCGGTGGGATAACGAGCTGGCGTCGCCGAGGGGAGCAGGCGGCAGCGGGACCCAGGGCTCGGCTCTGGGTCTCTCCCGAGTGGCACCACACAGTGCCCTGGCAGAGGAGGTGGTTTGGTTGCAGGGAACACGATTGCTGTGCAGACACAGCCGTGGCACTCAATCAGGTGCTCCTCGGTGGGAGGATAAACCAGAGGTGGCAGCCCAGCACGGGGCAAGGTGTGGAGCCTCCCTGTGTGATGCCCCTGCTCCTCCCAGCTGGTGCCAGGTGCACTGATGCTCCTCTTGGTCTCTTAAAGGAAAGAAAGCCCAGTTTGCCCAGGACAATTGTGACCAGAGGGAGCTGCTGTCATCCCCTCTGGGAACTGCTGAGGGGTGTTGGGTTCAATCCAAGTCTAAGTGAACAACGCTCCTATTGTTGGTGTAACTCCATACATATATATCTATATATACATATATATATCTGCATATGTATATTTATAATATAGATATATATATATTTAAACCCTTTTCATTCCATTAGTACAAGTAACACTTGTTTCCTGTTATTCCTATTTTGTTTGTCAACCGTGTATTCAATCACTGGGCTGAACAACAGTGGAGGAAGGTGCAAGGGATCCACTCCTTACTAACCAGTGATAAAGCCAGATGTTGCAACTTAACCCATGAGTAGATGTGCAGACAAGGATTGAAGAATGATGTGTAGAAACAACACAAGTGGCCAGGGGTGCTGAAGATACAGAACTCAAGTAGACAGGAGGGCTTCAAAGGGCACCTCAGTTCAGAACTGGTTGCTTAGAGGTGCTGAACAGCCTCTGACATGGAGCAGCTGGGTCAGTCAGCACAGAGGAATTTGTGGGGAGACACCTGACAACAAAGGACGCAGCAGTGGGGATTTACAGAGACACAGGGCTTGGCAGAAGTTTGAGGTAGTATCCTGA